ATCAGGGACTGGGGATATAGCTCAGTGAGAGAGTGCTGCCTAGTATGAGTGAGAAACTATTAAATCCTCAGTACCGCAAAACCCAACCCAACCCAACACCAGCCCAGAACCAAACCAAGAGACTCTTTGGTATGGACTGAAGGCTGTGTCCTACCTCCTAAGTTTGTATGGTGAAACCTACTTTCCATTGCAAAGGGATTTAAAGGTGGGCCCTTTGGGTGAGAAATGCAGAACCTTCAAATGTGTTCATGCCCTTAGATCAGTCCGTCATCCCTTCTACCTGGGAGGACATGAACCAGGAAGTGGGCACACGTGGTGCTCACACACAGCTGCTCCACTGCTGCACTTATTTGAACTTTTTTTTTCCTCTGCTAGGAATGCTTTCCCACTTGCTTACTCCCAGTCAGCTCTCACCAGCCCTTCAAGAGTCCATTCAGCACAGAATGCCCTCTCAGAGCATGCCAGATGGCAGAGGGTCCTGCATCCTTACATGTCTCTAACTGGTACTAGCTTATGGGTGCTTCCTGAGGAAGGACTCCAGAACACAGCTATTTTCTCAGTATCCAACCTAGAGCCACACCCAGAGCAGGTGTTTGTAACAGTTTAGGGACAAATACAACACCTCAACCCCCACCCCCCAAACACCCTGGTTCTTCCCGAGGCAGCCTCACATCTAGGGGATCCCAGCCTCTTTCTACCTGGGAGGTTGGTTCCTCATGTTCTTGGGTTACCTGGTTGTGAAAGCTACCACAGCCCCTGCCCCTCACATCCTGGCCTTCAGGGCCTCCAGGAGGACCTGTGTCTTGGAGCTACTGCTCATGGGCACTGCCCCCTGGGGCAGGGGCTGAGGCACCCTGATACCTTGCTTAGTACTGCATCCAGTGGGAGACAGGGCAGCTCAGAGGGACAAGTGTCAGGCCTTGAGCTCCTTTCTACAGCTGGACCCTGTGACTGTCAGCACCAGGGGACTTTCTGGGCTGTTTCTGGATTGGCCATTGGCTTTGTGGTGCCTGACTCAACTTCTCCACCCTCTGGATTATCACAGGGACTCCACCTTCTTCAGACACACATTTCTTGAAAAGAGAACTTTCTAATGTCCCTGATTCCAAAGGAACAATCTCTCTTCTTATGCTAATCCTGGAAGAACAACTTTTGGGTGGGAGGACGCCTCCCCCCACTCTTCTGGGCTGTTTGTATTGCTCATACTTTTTTTCCTTTTTCCTTGCCATTTCCTGTTACCATGCCTGTGTGCCCCAAAGCAGCAAGGAATGCCTGCCCTCTGGTGGACATATTGGGTGTGGCAGACCAGAAGCCAGCATCCTAATAGGACATGACTGAGGCTGGAACTCAAAGTCATAAAGAACCCTCCGTTATGAGGACAACGTTGGAGGCTGCTGAAGTCCCCTCACCCAGAATCCTGGCCTTGAGAGGGTTTGAAGAGCTAGAATACATTGTGGGTGGCAGAGAAGAGAGAGTCTGACAGTAAGTATTCCATACAAACGAGGTTGGGAAGCGCAGCTGAGGCTTGGTCTTGTCCCTGGCACCCAAGTTATTCACCCCTGCTTGCCAGCAAATTTCAAGAGTGACATAGGCTTACGTCTTATTAACACTGGGCCCCTATTCTCCACCCTCCCTGTCTGTCCCACCCCACCCAGCTGCAGGCCTTACCCTGAGGGAGATGAGTCGAAGCCGATAGTCCTCGGTGTGGATGACTTTCCGCACAGTGATCTCCATGCCATCATGGACCACCCGCTCTTCAGGCCAATATTCAGTACACTTCTGCAGAGGCCGAGACCAGATTGTGATAGACCCCCCCCCATTTCCCTCCCACATTCCCTGGTACTCTGCCTGGGTCAGCAGAGGGGTATACAAGGACAACAGGCTTGCTATCAGAACGCTGGGTTGAAACCTTTGCTTTGTAACCTGTAAGCTACTCCTTTATGAGCCTCAGTTTCCCTATTTGAAAAATGGATATGATAGGGCATGGTGGCAGAGGCAGGCAGATCTCTGTGAGTTAGAAGCCAGCCTGGTCTACATAGTGAGTTCCAGGCCAGCTGGGCCTATAGGGAGACTCTGTCTCCAAAAAAAAGGATATGATACTGCTCTGTAGGACTGTGTGTGTGTATGCGTGTGTGTGTGTGTATGTGTGTGTATGCACATGCATGTGTGCGTGCACATGCATGCAGAGGCCAGAGGCGACCTCTAGTGTTGTTCCTCAGTAACAGTTCACCTTGGTTTTTGAGATGTGGTCTCTCACTGGTCTGGAAATCATCAAGTAGGCTAGGCTGTCTGGCTAGTGAACCTCAGGGATCTACCTATGTCTGACTCCCAGCATCGGGAGTACAGACATACAGCACCGTGCCTGGCATTTAAATTTTTTTGATTGATTTTTATTTTATGTGTATGAGCATTTTGCCTGCATGCATGTAAGTGAAATTGTGTCATACAATGCCTGTAGAGGACAGAAGAGCATGTTGAATCTCCTGGAACTCGAGTTGCCAGTGATTGTTAGCCACTATGTGGGTACTGGGAACTGAACCTTGGACCTCTGCAAGAGCAGTCAGTGTTCTTAACCCCTGAGTCATTTCTCTAGTTCCCATGCCTGGCATTTTTAAAATGAGTGCTGGGGATCAAACTCAGGTCCTCACAAGCACTTTATCAACTGAGCTATCTCACTGGTCTCCTTTGGAAGGATTTTTATGAGTATTCAGTTAGGTGTGCTGTTTATTGTGGGCTCCCACAGCAGTGGCTGCTACCAGGCATCACTGCTGAGATATGGGGACTGGACAGGAGAAGCCAGCTCCAGGCTCTGTTCTGTCCAGCGTGGCCTCAGCATGTAACCTTAACTCCCTGCACCTTCCCATTTCCTCATACTGACAGTGGAGTGCACAACAGTCTCACAAAGTTGTCCTATGGATTAATATGGAAATGAGATGCTTTGTGTGGGGCATAACACGGCAGGTACTTAACAACGTCGTGGGGTCCCTACCTCGTTCATCTCCTCAATGTTGGTGATCATGACAATGATGGGTGTGTGTTCCTGCCACACCATGCGCCAGAAGTCGGCCACCGTGCTGACAATGGGTCCCTGCGTGGCGATGTAAGCCTTCTCCTCTCCACCATAGCCCTGTGACCGGCCAAGTACAGCCTGTCAGCATCATTGGCAGTGTCCCTGGGGGCCCCATCCCAGACCAGGCTCCTCTTGGGGCTTTTAGGAGCCACAGTAGCTTGGGGACAAGTCTGGAGGATGGATCCCATCAGTTCAGATCTCTCCTTTAGTGGAAGGCGGTTAGAATGGGGTTACATACCCGGATGTAGTTGGCGTTAATGTAGGAACTCAGAGGGTCTTCAGGGTCTGGTGAGGTCAGGCACACCCTGCTGTGAGGATCTGGGGTGGGAGACAGGTGAGGTCGTGAGGTGGGCCTTCTGGCCCAGGGCTCAACTTCTCTGGCCCACTCTACAGCACCTACATTTCTCCTGGGATTGTGCCAATTCCTCCTTCCCCTGCCTAGAGGCACAACACCGAACCCATTCTAGGTCCATGTAGGCAGGTAAGGATGAGGGATGGAGAAGACGGTAGAGAGGTCCTGGCCACCTCTGTAGGACCAATGCCTGCCCTTTGCCTGCATCTGTTAAGCTGCCCTATGCTCACTGCCTTGTGTACTGGTAGAGAAGGCTAGCCAAGACGGGGATGACCCGGAGCACAGATCCTGGACAGCAGGTGACAGCTAAGGTTGGAGTATATATTGCCACCGGCTTCTGTGTAATCTTACAAAACACCTGGCCTCTCTAAGCCCGTTTTCCTGTGTAGAATGGGGGTAAAGATACCTCCTTTATAGGGCTTTTGGGGAGATGAACAAGAAAATAGAAGAGAAAATGCTATATAAACCATGAAGTGCTTTATCAATTTAAAAGGCTTTTAAGAGCTAAGAAAGCTGAAGGAGAGCACAGGGGGTGAAAGGCAAAGCTCTTCACACCAAAATGAGATCGTAAGGTCTCCACAGAACAGAGGTGTGTACAAAGGGTTATCCCCTCCCACCTTTGTCACTTGTCAAACTCCCAGTGACAGATTTCCATAACATTGTGTTCTTGCAGAAGAACTTGTTTTGTTCCAGTGAGAGCTTCCCTCCCTGTATTGATTAATCTGTCAGCCTGAGAGGTTGGGACTATCAAGAATGTTCTATGGGGTGGACAGGAAAGCTGGTTGGGTTCTGGTGCTGCTTTGTTACCTGCTCAATGTCTTTATTTTATTTTTGAGACAGGGCTCCACGTTGCCTCAAACTCATTATGTAGCTGAGGCTGGCTTTGAACTCCTAATCCTCCAGCCCTCACCTCCCAAGTTCTGGGATTATAAGTATGCACTACCATGTTTGGTTGTGCAGTACTGGGAGCGCTACCCAGGGCTCTGTGCACACCAGGAAGGCAGGCTGCCAACGGAGGTGCGTCCGCAGCCTCACCTATTCAATGCCCTATCCCTTCTTTGGGCCTCTGTTCCTCTGCTCTAGTAGGAGGGCTGATTAAATGTGCTCCCAGCATGTACACTATGGGGCTCTCAAAGCCAGTGCAGGGGTGTCATGAGAGCCATTACCACAGAGCCAGAGAACCTGGGGTTAAATCCTGACTCTAGGACTGGTGAGATGGCTCAGTGGATAAAGACATTTGCTTCAAAGCCTGAAGACCAGAGTTCAATCCCCCGGACCTACATGGTGTAAGAGAGGACAGACTCCTGAAAATCGACCTCTGACCTCCACACATGCACACACTAATAAATAAATGTAATAGAAAAACAAATAAGAGGAAAACAGTCCTGGCTCTATGACCTACTGATGAAGCCCATGTGGGCCACTTACTTCCTTTCTCTGTACCTTATCCATAACTGGAGACACACATGATGACCCCCCCCTTATCTTGTAAAGAGCCCTTGGATTAGGCAGCAGCACTGAGCACCACAGAGTCAACAGTACCCGGCAGGAGGTGATCTTGTTACCTTCAGCACAGGTTTTACCTGCAGGGAATGGGAGTCAGGCAGGCTCTAAAGTTAGCGGGAGCAATGGAGGAGACGGAGGTGACATGCACACGCCCCCCATCTCCAGCCCTCTGCCAGTTTCAGCCTCTTGCCTGGGTTGTGGCAGGCGATGTGGGGGTGGACAGTTCTTGTGAAGAGGGCACAGGAGAGTGGCAGGGATGGGAGGGGTAAGAGGAAGCAGGAGGGGACTTCCAAGTGGCCATCTGAAGGAGAGTCCCGGAGTGGGCGGCTCTTCCTCATGGTCTACCTTCTCCTTGGCTGAGCCTGTCCAGGTCAGGTGCTGGAAGGGCAGATGTGGGCAATGCCCTCTCTGGTCAGATACCAGAGCTTCTGCTGTTAGAGATCCACTGTGGCAATGGGAATGATTGATTCCCTTCTACAGTCTCAGGAGCACACTGACTCTGGTGCTACACTTGTGAGAAGAGACTTCTAGATCAACAAGAGACACATGGTCCCTGACGCAAAGAGGACACAATGTTTGGTAGGAGGACAAGCAGTACATGACCTGAGAAAGCACTTGGGCTGTGGGGCCCATGACTGGGAGAGGCTGGACTGCCCAAGGGATGTGGCACTTGGATGGGGTCGAAGGACCAGGCGGAAGAGGCACCAGAAACACTTCTGTCTGATCAGGTACACAGGCAAGGCTGAACTTGATGAGAGATGAAGCTGGAGAAGAGCTAGGTGCCAAAGAGGGTGACATTGATAGTGTTTAAGGAGGAGGATGACATGATTAGATTTCCATTGTACCCCACTGTGAGAGAGGAGAGGAGAGAATTTGCAAGTCAGGAGCTGCCTGGTACAATTTAAGAAATGTCAAAGTCACAGGGCTGCCCTGCCTGGCATTGCTCCCAAGGGCTTTGTGTCCATGTTCTGCTTGCAAATGATGTGCTCAGAACTGGGCAACAAGAAGGTTTGAATGTCCCCCGCCCCCTGAGTAATTTGGAGGGTGGAGATGGGGAGCTAGATCTGAGAGATAGTCATCCATTTATTATTTCAGAAAGGTACAGGATGTCTCCCATATACCGGGCACTTTTTTGGTGCTTGGGATACTATGCTGAAAGAGACAGCCATTGTCTCCCCACATCTTGGTCTTTACACAGCCTGCTGGGTGGCTGATCACTCTGGGATTGCCCACACAGTTGTTTCTTTTGCTAGACTGGGAGCTTCATGTATAGAATCTGAATTCTCAGTCCCTGGGATAAGGGCTCAGGAAATGTGCAGAATCAATCAATCACAGAACAAACTTCAGGGTGCCTTGGATCCCAGAGGCTGCCTCTGCCGAGCCTGCCTGACCTGTTGCCTCCACCCCCCGCCCCGACAGTCCAGTGTCTTTAAGATGTAGGGTCAGCTCTGGCTCGTTAGACAACATTCATGTTGAGCTGGGGGGTGTGGAGGTTCAGAGCATGGTTGGAGCCTGCCAGGAACTCAGTGGAACCGTGAGGCGCGCCTGATTCCATGTGAGGTGCGCCTGATTCCATGTCCTTTCTGAGGTGCCAGCCAAATCCTGTTCTGGGTTAGCCAGGCCTCTCCCTTCAGGGAGAACTGGGACAGGGAGGGCAAGGGAAGAGGTAAGCAGCCCAGAAAAAGGCATCCAGCCTTAAATGGTGCTTTGTTTAAACGTAACTACCTAGATACTGTGTAACTATAGCAACTACAAGTCGATATTTTAAAAGTTAAAAATAAGTCATGACATCTTACATGCTGTTGGAGATGCTGATGGCAAAACTGCTTTTTTAAGGGCTCAGCACTCCACACACTGGGTAGAGTAGGTTTTGGGAGATTCACTTTCAACAAGTCACCCCATAAGCTAGCCCTGGAGGCTGGGGCCCAGCAGGCAGGTAGGGGCTTGATGAAAGTCACCTGAAAACGACACCATGGGATGAAATGGTAACATCAGGGTAGGTGGTCTAAGAGCCTCCCAAGGGAAAAAGCCCTGCGCAGGCCTTCCAGGGTACTATCTGTGCTGCCTCACTTGAATACACCCAATAACAGGGCGTTCACTATCAGAGAGAGGAAGCTTGCTCACTGGAGGAGGTGGCGATGCCTGTCAGAAGACTTACAGCTGGATCACAATGAACACAGGTAGACAAAAGAGCCTGACTCTAGGGTCACAGAGACCCAGATCCGAGATACAGATCTGTATTTACTAGCTATGTGGCTGTGGATAGATAACCACTTCACTCCCGTGAGTCCTTAATTTTCTCTTCTGAAAACCTACCCACTCTGAAGAGAAAAGCTGTGACAACACTTTTTGGTCACTACGCTCAGCTAAGCAGCCACCTTCTCTCTGTTTCTAGGGAGCTCAGTGCAATGCTTGGTCAGGCAGGGCAAGAGTCCAGGAGAGAAAGTGAACCGGTCTCTGCTCGCATTCCCCTCCCCTCCCTGCTTATCCCAGGCCTCCACTCCTCCTGTGATGCGTGTCTGTCATTCCTGGAGGCCCAGCTCTAGACATGAGATCTCCCTAGATGACAGACCATCCTCTCATGCCCTGGGGCAGCAGGTACTCACTGGGAAGGATGGTTTTGTACCGGTTCTTCCGCACCAGCCCTGGAATGTCATACTCTTTGGGATCCACAAAATTCATGGGGATTTCCTGCAGGAGGAAGAAAGACATGGGCTATGAGCAGCATCAGGCTGGTCCTCACACAAGTTCATTTGGGGCTGTTTGCCTTCAGCTGCCAGTGAAAGGACTGACTTGAGTTCATGTGTTCATTTTACAAACATTTACTACTAAGATAGCACACACATGCACTTAGAATAGTTTCTGGCACATGCCAAGGGCATGAAGAATAGTGTAACTACTGTTCACCGAGGGCCTGTCTGGTTTGTGATAGACACTCAGTGAATAAGTGAAAATGAACAAGACAAAAAGTGACCTCACCAATCACTGCCCCCTTCCCTTGCCCTCTGTGTGGCAGCTGGCAGGTGGCTCTGCTGATGTGTATTCCCACCTGGGCCACCCTCCCCTTGCATCTTGGTTCCTGCTGCTCAATGCGTGATAACACTCCATCCGTCCTCAGCTCCTCCGTACAGCCTGTCTATCTGAAAGGCCACTTCCTCTGAGGGCCCTTCCCCATAGCCAAACAGAAAGGGAGCCTGCTACTCAGCTCCCGCAGCTGGCTGTATTTGCCCTACCCAAGAAACTCCAGGTCTGATCTGCACCCCTGGAGTGTGAGGTCTCCTTGGACCTGGCCTCATTTTACCTGCAGCTGGGCCTGCTTCTTCCTGTCCTTCTCCCTTTTATTCCAGTATTGATTATTGAACCCAGAGCCTCTTGTGTGCCAGGCAAGTACTCTACCACTGAGCTAAAGCCCCAGCTGGCCTGGAACTTACTTTATAGACCAGGGTGGCCTCGAACTCACAGAGATCCGCCTGCCTCTGCCTCCTGAGCACTGGGATTACAGGCGTGCACCACCATGCCTGGCTCTCAGCTCTCTTTTTTAACTTTTTAATTTTGAGACAGAGTCTCACTAAGTTGTTCAGGCTGGCCTTGAACTCAGTATGTAGCTGAGGGAGGCCTTGAACTTGTGACCTCCTACCTCAGCTTCCTGCTCTTATCATGCATTCTCAGTCCAGCCTCCTTTCTCTGCCCAGGCTCACGGAGGTCTGAGTTCACTGTGTTCCACTTGCTGGGAGCACTAGGCTCAGCCCTCTACCTCGGAATTGGCTCCATCCTTTAGATTCACCCCAGCTCCAGCTCCTCCCCCACCCCCGGGCCTGGCCTCTGCATTTCTAATCAGTCCATAGTCTTAAAACCTGGCTGCGTGATCTCATACTGTTCATTGTTTCTGGATATTTTATATGGTCTTGGCAGAATACTCATGATAATACCTTTTAGGGCTCTCGTGAGAATCAAAAGAAATAAGAATCACACACATGTGCAGAACTGCCCATGGAGTGGGTGAGCAGCCTGTGTTCTTTCCTCCTGGCAAAAATCTATGGTATCTATTGAGCAGGAAGGGACACGGAGGACGTCAGCTGTCTTCATTGAGAGAGGATGGTGGTGGGAGCGGGGGTAGTGGAGGAAGGCTCTTCACCATGGTAGGAATGATGTGAGGATGGCACAAGTGGGCTGGCCCAGAAGTGGATGGCTCCTGCTGGTGTTGGGGCAGAGCACAAGGCTGGAGAAGGAGGCAGGGGCTTACCAATCCGAGCCTATAAAGATGATGCCAAGCTTCAGAGAGCTTGGACCACTGAGTCTGAGGGGCATGGTGGGGGAGCTACCTGACTGGTGAGTCTGATTGGGGAAGTGGGCTATTGGGCTTCAGTTCCTTCCTCCTCTTCTTGGGGTCCTTCTACTAAGTTACAGTTGCACCTCCATAAGGCAAGACCAGGATCCCTTGGTAGTGGAGTTTCCTATTTCTGGGGCTCAGTATCAGAAGTTTACTCCTGCCATATGCTGCCAAGACTCACTTCCAACTTATCTTTTTGTGACAATGCAGGTAACACTGTCCTGTAGCTGAGCTCTTAACTGGCCCAGCACTCCAAGCCAGAGATCAGGGCTCCCACTTATTGAGTCTTTTCAAATCCAGCATGAGGCACAGAGGCTGGGAGAAGGACCTAAGTTATGGCTCCAAGGAAGAAGCATCAGGATGAACAAGTTTTGTGATGTCGGGTTGAGGAGAACAGGAAGACAGGAGAGCAAGAAGACGTGGTTTCCTTTTCTTCTGGGGATTGAACCCAGAGGCCTTGTGCATGTTACTGGGCAAGCGCTGTACCACTGAGCAACACTATCAGTCCGGGTGACGCTGCTTTCTATGACTTTCATAGCACGGTCCCAGCAACAGTTCCAGAAGCTCCTCGACACATGGTATCAGCCTCTTCAACTTCTGAGATCCTGTCATTTATCCCATTTTCCAGATTAGGATACAAAGGTTTAGAGGGGGAATAGTGTGCCCAAGATGCCAGGGGAGATGATACTGAGGGGGTGTTAGTCAACTCCAGATGTGGGTTTGTACTCTGGAGTACTGCAAAGGACCCACATAAGTGCAAAGGTGCCACAGGCAGTAGCTAGTGAAGTGGACTCACAAAGAATTCTGCCTGTAGCAGGAAGGGATCCAGGGCCTTTTCGTGCAGCTCCTCAGCCCGGAGGACACGGGAGGCACTGAGCAGGTACTCGTGGGCTGACTCCTCGCGTGGGGACACCAGGTGGCCAAAGCCCTCCTCGTTGCAGCCTGGAGTACACATGTCCAGCGTCAAGGAGACATTGGAGCCCCTCCTGCAAGAACCAGAGAAAAGGGGATCAGACTCCAGCATGAGGCAAGGGGGGGTCAGGGGAAAGCAGGGTGGGCTCCAGAAAGAAGAGCCGGAGTATGAGAAGAGCCTGTCCCCAAGGCACATGAGGCTCAGCCTGCATCCCTGTCTGCTGTGTCACATGGGGGTGTGGGGACCCGGTTCCCAAACTTCCACCCAAAGAAACCCTTCGTGGCCCTTCCCTGGACTCTGTCATTGCTGAGTAAAGAAGCCCACAGTGCAGATACCTACTGAGGCCAGGATCAAGCCCAAGGGGCAGTCCTCGAATGGGGCTGTCTAGGGCGAGGGCATCTCAGCTAGGAGAGGACCCTCAGCATCCGGGAGGGACAGAGGGAGGTCAGGGACAGGCAGTAGCAGCAATGATGTCTGTACCAGACCAGCTCCACCATGCTCAATATCTAAAACCTCAGGACAGGGAGGACCCTCACTGTATAGGAAGGGAAGCGGAGTTCTCATGGTAAGAGGCATGAGAGCCAAAATCAAAGCTTAGGTTTTCTGACTCCTCATGCAGTGCTCTTTGTGAAATTCTGTAGATTAAGTTGGTGTGAGCTGGTTTACCCCGCTCCGAACAGAGGGTATTGCTACCATCCAGAGTACCCTCTGTGGAACCTTATGGGGCATTCTAGAAAAGTAGGGTTCTTTGGCCTTTGGGAAGTGCCATTTACTGTCTTTTTTTCGCTGATTTATAATGAACAGAGGCAAGTTAAATGTTCTGACAAGCTCTGTATGAGGAAACCTATTCTGACTTCCTTGACCCAAGGAGCACATGGCTGTGTGCTCACGTGGAGTCAAGTTTTTGACACTCATCTTGAGGTTCTCTGATCTACATGCATCATCTGAAATGTACACAGCTATACTGGCTAAACTATGAGGCTAGCCTTATCCTGCCCACTAGGAGCTAGGGTTGGACATCTACCCTTCTAACGGGAGCTTATGGTCCCAAGCCCACCCCTCGGCCACCCCTCCCACCTCTCCTGCAGACCCATGGACTTGACGGTCAGTGAGGTGGGGTCAGCCTCAGGCTTGATGTCCATCACACAGTCAAACACAGGTGTCTCGGGTACCGCGTCCAGGTCCAGGAAGTCATCTTCCACCTTCTCCTCCATCCACTCTGAGTAGGTGAAGGAGGGCTGGCGGCCCACTGACTGGCGCCTGTCCTCTGGGGGCAGCGGGATGGGTGGCTCTGGGGGCGCCTTTAGGAGGTGCCACACCTGGTTGGGGGACACAACACGTCGTGGACCTGGGATGATACTGGCTGTCCCCTAGATTCTTGGGGGTACTTGTGGGACTGAGCTCTCTGACACCCTCCAAGTATCTAGAGTAGCCATGTTCTCCTAGGAGTTGTCTACAAGGAACTGGCCCAGACTCCGGTTGTACCCTGCCCCCCAGTCTCCCTTCCCCGCTCTTGGTTTCTTGAGGATTTGAGCCTTGTAGGCAGGGTCTGGGTGTTCCTTCTGCTCCGTCACTGCAAACCACCCTTTAGAAAGGAGTTTCTTGTTTTCAGCGGGCACACTGGCAGGAGGAGACAGAAGCCTGTCTTTGCTCTGTTCAGTATCTGGGTTGCCCTGCCTGTGGGTCAGATGGATCTGGTGGGAAGCAGGGCTTTAGAGGCAGGGGAGGGCAGCACTGAGGCTGGGGACAAGTAGGCATCTTACCAGGGTGGTGATGATGACTATGCCCACAGAGAGAGAGACTAGCAGCAGACTGGGGAGCGCCCAGGTCCTAGAACCCAGCCAGGCCTGGGGAACAGCAGACAAACAGGTCAGTGTCGGGGTGGGGGGAGGGAACAACCCCATTCTCATCTGCAGACTGACAAGAAAACCACAGCCTGGGCCTGGGTAGGAAGTACACCGAAGACCTTTGGGATCTGGGAAGCATCTCTTGAACTCAGGGATGCCCCAGCCAGGGGTTGGGAGGGTGGGACCCCTAACTCATCCCATCCCCCTGCCCTAGGGCTCCCCAGGGTTTACTCACCGCCAGTCCCGGGTGGTTCAACAGTGTGAGCGTAGAGGAGATGAGGTCTGTGGTGTTCTGCAGCCAGGAGTGGCCATGGCCACTGAGCCAGAGCACCCCACAGGCAAGCTGGGGCAGTCAGGGGAGCAGGCTGAGCTCGGCGGTCCAGCCCTTTACCCTGATACACCCCTGCAGAGCTCACCTTCGGCCCTACCCTGGGCCCTGAGGAGGACTGTGAGCCTCTCAGGGCCAGACTGGATAGCTGAGGGAACAGCCCAGCAGCCGTGTACCCAGAGGAGGCCTCAGCACTGAGAAGAAAGCTAACTGAAGGCAGCGAAGACAAAGCCCTTTCTGTAGGGGACCCCACAGGTCCTAAGGCTTCCTAAGGGAAGTCTTGCAGAAAGGCCTTGCATAGACAGAAAGTTCTCAGAGAGAACTCTGTAGGACCAGGCGTCAGGGATGGGGGAGCCCTGCCTCCTGGTTCTGGGATGAGGGAGGGCAGGCCACGATGGGCTTAGCTCCTGAGGCCGTAGCTCAGAATTCCAGTCTTTCCCTCCCTCCAGTCATGAAGACTTGGAGTGACTGAGGGCCACCATAAGTCTCCTCATCCCCCCCACTTCCCCAGGTGGCCATCTTGGGAAGGAAGCGGAAAGCTGTCCCTCAGCCCACCCTCTCTTCAGGCCCTGGTGAGGCCTGTGACATTCTTACCAGGAACTGAGAGGCAGCAAACAGGCACAGGCTGCTTCTGATAGTGAGGGAGTGGCTCCCAGCGCCTTGAGGTGGCGGCTTCTGAGCTGGCTCTGAGGGCGGTGAGGGTGGAGGGGGTGGTGGCATCTCTCTCTGCTTGCTGGGGAGCCCTTCGGCCTCTTCCAGTGCCTCCATCACTACCGGTTGGGGGAGACCTGTGGAAGGTGGGACATGCGGGTGGTGACTCCGGGCTCTGTCTGAACACAGGGCTCTGCTGCCCCACGGCGGGTTGGCTCTGTTTGGGATTGCTGTGGCTTCCTTTCTATCCCGGATCAGTCAGCGTGGCTCCACTTCCAGCCGTCAGCCGTGATTAGCAAAGCAATATTCACCTACCTTCGTCAGAAAGAGCTACGTGTGGGTGGACAAATTATTTCTCTTTTATTTCTCCAGTAACAGAGTTAAAATGGCAGGAGGTTTTTCAGAGTTAATACTGCTGTATTTACGCAGCTTCCTTCTTTTCCATTTCTTAAGGAAACAAAAACAACCACCTCAAACTCAATTAAAAAAGCAAAGGAAAAAAGAATATGGCATAACCGGGCCGTGACCCCGAGCAACCTGCCCACGCCTGCCCTCTAGAGTTCTGTCTCTAGTGATGTGTGCCCTGACTGGGGCAGGGATGCTGGACTCCTGAGGGGATCATGGTCAAGCATCTCCCCCACCTCAAGACCCTCATACCACTGGGAAAAGGAAGCCAGGGTGCTACGGAAGGAAATCCTGATGAGAAGACTAGACAGCAGATGTCTGGGATCCAGTTCTGGAATGTTCTCAGTTGGTATGACTTGGGGAGAGTCATTTGCTATCCGAGCCTCAGTTTCCCCACCTGTGAAATGGAGGTTGAGTTCAATCTTTACCAGTCCTTTTTTCTCTTTTCTCTCTTTTGAAAGCTTTATTTATTTATGTGTGCACATGTGTGTGCATGCTATGGAAGACATGTAGAAGTCAGATGTCAACATTTCGTGAGTCAGTTCTCTCCTCCCATCTTGTTTTTGAGGCAGGGCCTCTCTTGTTTCTGTTGCTGCACTATGTGAGCTTCCAGCTGATTCTCCTGCCTCTGCCTCCCTTCTCCCCATAGGAGTGCTGCGATTACAGAGTCAAGCCACTGCAGTCAGCTTTTCTACACAGGTGATTGAAGTCAGACTGTCAGGCATGCAAAGCCCTCTTTCTGCCCCCTTTTTTCCTTTTTTAAAAGTAGAGTCTCAGGAAGCCCAGGCTGACCTTGGACTCCCTATGTAGTTGAGGATAACCTTGAACTTCCAACCTTCCTGCCACCTCCTGAGTGCTGGGATTACAGGTGTGTACCACCACACCTGGTTTATATAGTGCCGTGGATCAAACCCAGAGCCTGGTGTATGCCAGGCAAGCAGTCTACCAACTGAGCTACATCCCTGGTTTTCCAACTGTGCTTTATAGAGTCCCGGTGTTCTAAAGGGTAGCAAGGGCTCTTACCGAGGGCTCTGAGTTCTACCCCCAGTTTCGTAGAAGCTCTGCATGTCCTAGTTCTGGGGACTAGGTTTCCACTAAGATTATCAAGAGTTCCACTTCCAACATCACTGGCTTAGATCTGAGACTCTTGCTATGATGTGGGGATCCAGAAGCCATATTCTTGCTGAGTCCCAGATATTGGGGATCCCCAACCAAACTCAGGTCAGTTTATTACCAAATGGAAAGGGCCTGGCAGAATTGATTGGCAGGACAGTGAGATGGGGCTGTCTGTATATTACTGTGCGTATGGGACAATGGACTTCTTTTCTTCCATTGTCCCATATACATGGTAATGTCACATCGTCGCAACAGAAGCATTTGAAGCCAAAATGGGTGAGTTCACTCACTCAACATTTACTGAGCCTGTCATGGGGCTTAGATGAGCAGTGTGGTGGATCCTGTTAGACACCATGTTAGAATCACAGGCCCCTTGTGCTAGCTTAGCCCCCAGAGGGCTCCTTGAAGCTGTGTCCCAACCACGCCCTCTAGATCCTCAGGTGAGTTATCCCCTGTGCTTGTTCATTATTCCCTCTACTAGACTATCCCCTCGGCATCCTGCTCCCCCCCTCTGCCTCCCAAGGTAATGCCCATTCATCTTGTAGCTCTCAAGCAAAGGTCACCTAACTAGGTCCTGCCCCCTCATCCATGCTACTCATTCATACCTCTACCAGCAACGACACATCTGTGCATGTGTGTGGCTGTTCCAGATGCTTATATACATTAATTCACTTACTCTTCACTGTACCTCTAGGAAATGGGTGCTGCCATCAACCACATTTTACAAAAGAGGAAGATGAGGTGCAGAGTGGCCAGGAGTCTCTTCCAGGCTTGCCAGTGAGCGGCAGAGGGGGGTTCACTCTGAGGCAGTTGGTTTTGACTCTGGACATACTACACTCTCTATGGTTTGTAAAATGACTTATAGACAGTCTCCTTTGTTCACCTGGAAGTGGTATCAGGTGTGCTTCTTGTGTGTCCAGCATCCAGCGCATCTTGGCATGCAAGTTTGCAACATATTTACTACACAAGTGCCTGAGGGACAAGTGATATTCTTTTACTCTCTTTCCTTTATATTTGAGAAAGGGGGGAGACTCATATCTTGCAAACCTGCTACAAAGACTTCTTTTTTCTTTCTTCTTAAAGAACTTTTATTTTATGTGTGTTTTGTATGTGAATATACCATGAGTGTGCAATGCCCACAGAGGCCAGAAGAGGCATTGGATCCCCATGGAACTGGAGTTACAGATGGTTGTTAGCTGCCATGTGGGTGCTGGGAACTGAACCTGGGTCTTCTGCTAGAGGAATAAGTGCTCTTAACTGGTGAGCCACCTCTCCAGCCCTTGCTATGAAGACTTCAGCTATTACAGATAAGATATCCTGCATGGTGCCTGACATTTAGCAGGCACCCAGTAAGTGACATATTATAACACAACTCTTGCCTTTGAATGAATGTCTCTTAGTTTCCTGGGAAAGCCCAAACATAAAATGCACATACCTGATACACTGAAGTGCTGGTACAGTGTGAGAGGGTGGGGGAGAGCAGCTCCTTGAAGCAGGTATAGTTACTTAGCACTGAGTTCAGCTCTGATCCCGGGTGCACAGAGAGAGTTTGCTGCAGACCTTGAGTCACCCTTTCCCTCTCCTGGTTGTTTCCTTATATGTACAAACAGGGACTTGAACTAGAATTTTGTTCTTGGGTGTTTCTAACCTCAGAGGGGCGAGAACGTGGGCCTTTGGGGAAGAACATCAAATACATGAATTTGGACTTGGCTGCTTTGGTTTGGTTCCTAGCACAATTCACAGGTTTTCTGTACCCTACACAATGGTTTACCTGCACTCATTTTGATATTAAAATGTCCCCCCCTCTCCAAAAGCTTCAAATCAAATTTCAGCTTCAGGAGGATGTGCGGGGGTACATGCACCCCAGTCTGAAAAGCATGGAAGTTGCCTGCAATGAAGTGTCACACAACCATTATAAGTGACTTTGTGGATGAATATTTAATAACATGGAAGGAAAGTTTGAGAGCATGGAGTGTGAGAGGTAAGGTTATATGTACACATATAGCCTCAGTGGCCTTAAAAATTAACAGTGTAAGCCAGGCATGGTGGTGCATGCCTGTAGTCCCAGCATTTGGGAGGCAGAGGCAGGTGGATATCTGTGAGTTCAAGGCCAGCCTGGTCTACATAGTGAGTTACAGGACAGCTAGGGCTTACAGGGAGATCCTGCTTCCAAAAGACCAAAAAAAAAAAAAAAAAAAATGAACAGTGTAAATGTGTATAGGAAAAGATGGAGCACACCTGACATAAGATGAGAGGGTAATGAAGGCCTGTAGAGTGACTATTTGATATACAGTAGTGCTTAATAAATGTGCATGGGAAGAAGTGCTAACAATATGTTTAAAAAATTTTTAATTTAAATTGTCTATGTAGCCCTGGCTGGACTGGGACTCACTATACAGATCAAGCCAGCCTCCAATTCACAAAGATCTGCCTTCCTCTGCCTCCCAAGTTCTGGGATTAAAAGTGTATACCACCATGTCCAGCAACAACATGTTTTTGGAGGAGAGGATGAGAACTGAGGTGATTTTATTTATGTATCTTAAATGTTCTTCAATATATAGACATTTTTATTGACAAAAATTTTTAAAGAAGAGATAAAAATTCTGAGTTCAAGTGTCATGAAGCATAGCTAATAAGCCCTGACACCCTCCTGTCACACCTGGAGACATGTGGTGGCAGATAGAGGCTGAAGGTGTCCATAGTTCTGGGGGAGCCACTAGTAGAACACACTGAGAAGGGAGGCCCCCCTGAGAACGCTTGGCTGTTATACTGCACACAGGAGATGGAAGGTGAGCTATAAGTTATATGATGGGGGTAAGAGGGAAACATAGGCTGATGGAGCCCTGTGTGAGGGTCTCAGGAGACCAAGGGGAAACTTGACACTACGAGTGCACTTACCTGCATGAAGACAATATACTTATATACATAAAAAATAGCAAATAGAATATTTAAAAAAATTTCTGTTGGGGTTTTGAGGAACTCATGTGATGGGGATGTACTGGGCACCATGCAAATATATACCATTCAGAGCAGAGTTTATTTAAAATTGTTTTCTAGGGGCTGGCTAGATGGTAAGGGTAGAGGCCTTTGTCATGGAAGCCTTGTGTTCTGAGTTTGATTTCTGGAACCCACAGAGAGATGGAAAGAGAGAAATAACTTCAGAAAGTTGTCCTCTGACCTCACATGTGGACCATGGCATGCATGTACCCCTAATAATAATAATAATAATAATAATAATAATAATAATAATATTAATATAAAGTTGTTTTCTGGATAGAAATTAGGCATCTTTTTATCAAACGAACACTGTGTTAGGCATGTAATCTGGAGGGGAATCCATGAACCTTTAATTACGAAGCCCTGGTCTCAGGTGGAGGCAGTGGGAGTCCCTGACAAAGTGGTGGAAATCGCAGGTGTGGAGAGCTGGGTTGGGACTCAATCCCCGACTTCAGCGTCTGTTCATCTGTGTATGAGTCCAACACACATTTATTTAGCACCAATCACCTGCCTGGAACTGTAGCACTGGGACTTCTAGGATTCATTTCCCTGCCGTTTGGGAAGTGTTTGCTGTGCGTTGACTTTGCCAAGCACTGGGTCAGGTTTGGCGTTTAGCAGT